ACATAAGGGTGCCCTACCCAGGGCCAGCGGATAGGTCTACGGATGACTCGTCAAACGCTTGCGCGTAGCTATCCTTGCCCAGCCACGGGCATGTATAGCTACAGCTCATGCGACAGCTCGGGCACGGGCCTTCGCCTTGAAGTTTTGAAGGGGGTCTGACCGCTGGGTCATGCCCCCTCGCGCGCCGCGCAGTTTGACGACGGGCATTTGGTCAGGGGTCCCCTTTAATCATCTGCGGGTGGTCGCGCGGTCTTGCCCGTGACCATCCGTAATTATCTGCGGCTGAGGAAGGGGGTCTGCCCATGTTCGGCCCTGGTGCTCTGTGCTGTTATTCGTTTACTTGCCTGCGCACTGTCGGGGGTGATACCAAACAATGTCACCATCCTTTTCTGTTCACTTGATAGAAATGACTAGGACGTGGATCTAGCGTTCAGCCCCCCCCCCCCCCCCTGGCCGACATTAAACGAAGGTTAAGGTGGGGTTGCATAGCGAAAACTATATCCGGCGCTGTCTTGGCTCAAGGCTGCGCAGTCGTATTTGACAGCTGCGCGACTGTGTGTGACTCCATGTGGGTCATCCTATCAGACAGCGGCCACATCTATCTATGACCTTCCTCTCCGTCCTGTGGCTTATCTCGTGCCTTTCGTCGTGCTTGCCGCCGAGGTGCATGAAAAAACGGCAACTTGCCGCGTGATGCAGACTTGGGCCTCAGGGGCCCGAGAGAAAACCTACGCGTGGGGCCTGGGGCGAGATGCCATAATCAATTGAACGCCGCAGCTCTGCGGAGCCCCAGAGACCAGTGCCATTGATTGACATGCGTCGGCGCTCCGAAAGTATATTCCGATTTGAGAGGCATGGCGCCGCGCGAATGCAGCGCAAACGCTATGCTGGAAGGGCGCGGCAATGCATGCCCCCTCCTCAGTCCCTAGGAATCCTCAGGAATCCCAGGAATCCCAAGGAATCAGGATTCCTAAGGATTCCTAAGGTTTCTTAAGAATTCCTATGGATTCCAAAGGATGCCTAAGGATGCCTTAGGAATCCTTAGTAAACCTCAGGATTCCATTGAATCCTCAGGCCGTTGCCGCTGCGACTGTCATTGCGAATGCGACTGCGACTGCGAGAACAACAGAATTCTAAAACTGGATTCTCACTTGAATCGCAAGGGGAATGCTTCCATACATGCTTATACACATCGCTGTTAGGTTGCTTTGCCGGGATAATTGATAGGAGGTTCTAGGCGGTTTGCCCGCGTTCGGTTTCTTCGGAGTGGGCCCGAATACTTCGAGAACGATGTTTTTACAAGGGGCCCGAAGCGGTTTGCGCATGTTTGGGTCGTTCGAACCGGACCCGGAATTTTTCTTGGCACAAGTCATATGGGATTTGGCCATTTTCAGGTCGGCCGGTCAATTTTTCGGGTCGTCGTATGACCGAACCCGAAAGCTTTTTTCGAGGAAGTCCTATGCCGTTTGCTCATTTTCGGGTCAGTAGACCGATTTGGATCTAAAATTTTACATGCGGAAGGGGAACCCGATCCCGCGACCCCGGGCGGGGGTTAGGCTTTGCCCTTGCACTGTGCTGGGCCCCTCTGGCCAAACGGGGTGCTGGGCTGCCCATCGGCGCGCCGACTCTGCCCTCGCGACATCGCCCCCGTCTGCCCTCGGGCCCCGCGAGTCTTACCTTGCGCGCGCCACTACAGATGGCCGCGGCGAGCACGGTGGCGAAATGGGGGGAATTTTCGGATCGGCGCAGTATGCGTAATATTTGTGGAAAGACCCTCCTAATGCGCGTGTTAAACCTGCTGGCGTGGATGATGCGGCAGGTGTTGCGCTGTAAACTGCTGAATGGTGCCAGGTGGTTCGTACGTTGATGTGTCCACGCATACGTACTTAGCGGCTGATTCACTTATGCTCGATTGGTTTGTCCCGCCACATATATCATCTTATTTCCGACCTGCTACGCTGTTACGCATCTTTTCTCTGCTCACCTGTTTGGCTGCGTTCTTACAGATCCCTCCAAGTTTCTCGCGTCCTGGCTAAGCATGGGCAGCATGAACATTTCGCTGCTCGTGTATGCCGTTCGTTCTGGTCGGCAGCGCCCGCTCGTCGTTGAGAAATGTGGCCGCACCGCGCAGCAGCTTACACTACATTGCGAGACTGCTGCAGACTGTGGCAGGAATTGGCGGCGCGCACGATGGGTCGGCGCGAGGGAGGCGGCATTCTAAGAAGGCGAGTGGCTTCTGAAAAGTGCTAGGGCCTTGTTGGAGGGGCCAGGCTGCTTCCCAGAGAGCCGGAGGGCTTTTGAGAAACCCGCTGCCCTCTCAAGGAACCCGCCGCCTTCTCGGAAGGCCATCCCCCTCGCGTCGCCCCGCTGCTCTTTTAGCGCTACCAGCAGAATGTTTGCCGGCGTGGGCCCGAAACAGCGCGTTGTAGCAATCTATACGTGGTGCAATGTACGTGTTGCAATCTATGTGGTGCGATGTCAGTGGTGCAATCTATGTGGTTTAATTTACCCGGCGCAACCTATGTCGGGTGAGCTACGAGGTGCAGCCATGTGGAGCTGTACATGTGATGCACAGTGTGTGGTGCAATCTACGTGGTGTGTCATATGTGGTGTAAGGTACGTGGTGTAGGCTATGTGGTGTAATCTATACGCTGCAAGCTCTGTTGTGTAATCCGTGTGGTGCAATTTCTGCGGAGCATCCTCTGTGCTGCAATCTATGTGGCTCACCCTACGTGGTGCAATCTACGAGGCTCGCGCAACCAAAATTGCGACAACCTGTGCAGTGGCGACGGCAGAGCCAGACGGGCGGCGGCGACAGGCGGCCACGAGCCGGCCGGACCGGCACGCAGGGCCAGACGGGCCGCGGCGACGGGGCGGCCACAAGCTGGCCAGGGTGGCGCACCAGCCCAGCTCCCTGTAAGACAAATCCCCTATGTAAGTGCAAGCGCTGTTTGGAAGATTTTGGGCGGCGCGCCGGGAGGGGAAGTGAGAGAGGCAGGCGTTCTCAGAAGGCGGCGGGGACTTCCGGCGTTCTGACACGCCCGCTGTGCTTGCGGAGTGGGCGTAGGAAACTTGTCAGGAGGCAAGAGGCCTTTTGAGCCCTCTGAGGACGCCCGCCGCCCCCCTTGGTTTGCCCCTTGGGCGCGCCGCCGAAACACGAGGCGGCGGAGGAGGAGGAGGAAGAGGAGGAGGAGGAGGAGGAGGAGGAGGAGGAGGAGGAGGAGGAGGAGGAGGAGGCGGAGGAGGTGCAGGAGGATGAGGAGGAGGAGGAGGAGGCGGAGGAGGAGGAGGAGGAGGAGGAGGAGGAGGAAAAATACAAAGAGTAATAATGATATTAATAAGAAGAATATTAAACACAATACCAAAAAGAATAATAATACGACTACTACTAATAACAATACTAAGAATATGAATAAGAAAACGAATAATAAGGAACATACTAATACTAATACTTATAATCATAGTAACAATGAGAAGAAGAGTCATACTAAGAAAATAATTAGTAACATACAACTAATAATCCAGCTCATACGAATAATAAGAATACTGAGAAGAAGACGAAACATAAGAATAATAAGAGTGTTAATAATGATAATAACAATAAGAATAATATTGATAATAAGAATATGATTAATACTAATCAGAAAACGAATAATAATAAGAAAACGAACCATAATAGGAATACTAATAATAGTGGTGATACAAATACGAATACTAAGAAGAATATGACGGAGAAGAAGAGTAACAAGCATAATAACAATAGTTATACTAATATTAATAATCAGAAGAATAATACTAAGAATAATAATCATAATAATAAGAAGAATAATATCAAAACTAATAATACTAATAATAATGCTACTACTATCAATAATCAGACGAATGCTAATAACATTCATAAGACGAATAATAATAGTAATATTACTAGAAAAGTAATCATACTTGTAAGAATAATAAGAACAATAATGCGAATAGTAATAACCAGAAGAAGAATAAGAAGGATACAAATAATAATAAGAATACTAATACTACTAATGATATTAATATTACTAATACTTAAAATAAAGGGAGAATCATAATAATAAGAAGGAGAATACTAAGAATAATAGTCATAATAAGAATAATACTATGAATGCTCAGAATCATAAGAATAAGAATAACAAGAATAATATGAATAATAACCTAATAGTAATAAGAATACGAAGAATAATCATAACACTAAGAATGCTACTAATAATATCTATAATAATAATAACAACAATAAGAATAATAGTACTACTACTACTAATAATAATTAAAATATTAATAATAAGAATAATAAAAATAATAACAAACATAAGAAGAATAATAAGAATTAGAATAATCATAATAATAAGAATAATAATAATAAGAGGAAGAAGAATACTAAGAGTAATAAGAAAAATAATGAGAAGAAGACGAATAAGAATAATAATGATAATAATAAGATTAATAATAATAATAAGAATAATAATAAGAATAATAATAATAAGAAGAATAAGAAGAACAATAATAATAAGAAAAATAATACGAATAATAACAATAATAATATTAATGATAATAACAATACTAATAATAATAGTGATAATAACAATAATAATAAATAATAAAAATAATAATAATAAAAATAATAATAATGATAATACTAATAATAATAATAATAATAATAATAATAATAATAATAATCATAATACTAATAATCATAATAATAATAAGAATAAGAATAATAATAAGAATAAGAATAAGAAGACGAGGAGGAGGATGAGGAGGAGCATGAGGAGGAGGACGAGGAGGAGGAGGAGGAGGAGGAGGAGGAGGAGAGGAGGAGGAAGAGGAGGAGGAGGAGGAGGTGGAGGAGGATGGAGGGAGGAGGAGGAGGAGGAGGAGGGAGGAGGAGGAGGAGGAGGAGGAGGAGGAGGAGGAGGAGGAGGCGGAGGAGGAGGAGGCGGCGGATGGATCCCCATCCCCGCCCTTCTTCCCAGGCTGGGCTGTCGACCATCTGCTGCCTGCGCCGGCCAGCTCGACCGGCGCCCCAGCAGCCGCCGCCGCGGCCGCAGGGCCGCTCGCCAGGTGCATCGTTCTCCACACCTCTGATCATGCTTCGTTTTGCTCTGGTTGTCGGCTCGCCTCGTTTTGTCGTCCCGTTGGAGGCAGTACGCGGCGTCGAGAGTTCAGACGCCTGTCTCACGCTGCGGCGCAGCATGGCTGCGGTGATATGCAGTGCTCGAAGGTGGAGGCAGCATGTTTGTGATTCGTGCGCGGACAAGGAAGTCATACCTCTGATTGCGCATCGAGGACCCCCAGGACGTAGGTCAGCTCCACCGATAGCCCGCAGACTGCGGTCGTATTGGAAGGCTCCAGTGGTCAAACGCAAGCTTGCGCTAACCTTCTTCGAGCATTATCATCGGTCGAGGATCGAGGATCGAGAATTCAGCAGGATTGTCAATTACAACGACTGATGAAGCCATCCTGTCAGCAGGTGCCCCGCGGAAGTCTCTTGTTCGTTGATGGCCCTGGGGGCCCGCAGAAGCCGTGGAACAACCTCGAAAGTTCAAGGATGGACGACAAACGTGCCCCTAGGTTTCTTGTAGCAGAGTTCTTACCGCATGCATACCAGGCACGTTTTTTTCAACGTTCCTGTGCCTTGTTGGGCACCTTGGGGCTGCTTCGCGGCCATGGCCCGATTCCCCTTCGAGACTCTGGTCGGAGCGCACTCCATGGGAGACCAGAGTGCATTTTGAGGGGGACCCAGAGCTCCAGTCATCAGACAGCAACCATCGCGGCGTCCGTTTTTCGTTTCCTTTGGGCCTCCAGGGCGCTTTCCTCGACCCAAGGGGCCGTTAGAAAAGTGGTCTGGCATGAGAAGGGGAGTCCAGGAGGGGGGGGCCCAGACCTCGGCCCACGGGCTGAAGAGGCCGATCCGCCAGAGGTGGAGGCAGAGGGTCGCAGAGGCGAGGCGGGGCAGCCATGCAGCTGCGTGCGGCTGCTGGCGTGCTCGCCCGAGGTGCCAGCGTCTCGGTCCGCGTCCTCGCCCAGACCCACCTTGCTAGACGGTGCTGTCGCTTTGTCCCCCCCTCGTTCGTCTTCCCTCGTTTGCGCAGGATCGGCGGGCTCGTCGTTTACCAGCGCCAGCCTCCAGGAAATCGATTGCGGCGTTCGTTCAGCCATGAATGCGTGAGAGGAGATCTCAGGCTGGGCTCCACCCTACCCCATCCTCTGCCCCTTCTTCTGCTCGTCCTCCTGCCAACCCCTCATCCCGCCTCCCTCCTCGCCTTCTTCCCTCTCTCTTCGTCGATCTTCCCTCAGCATCCTTTCTCGTCTCTCCTCATCCTTTTTTCATCCCTTTTTAGCCGTTCTCCTCGTCGTTCTCCTAGTCGTTGCCCTCCGCATCCTCCCACACGGCCCCCGAGCCCCACCATCTTTCTCCATCCCCCTCCCTGTTCGATCATCCTGTTCCTTCTCCTACTTTTCCCTCTCCTCCTCCTCCTCCTCCTCCTCCTCCTCCTCCTCCTCCTCCTCCTCCTTCTCTCCTCCCCCTCCTCCTCCTCTCCCTCCTCCTCCTCCTCCTCCTCCTCCTCATCCTCCCGTCCTCCTCCTCCTCCCCGTCCTTTTCCTTCTCCTCCTCCTCTTCCTCCCCATCCTCGTCCCCGTCGTCGCCCCCGCCGTCGCCGCCGCCGCCGCCGCCGCCGCCGTCGTCGTCGTCGTTGTCGTCGTCGTCGTCGTCGTCGTCGTCGTCGTCGTCATCGTCGGCGCTCCAGCAGGCTGGCCCATGGGCTCCCCGTGAGGCAACCACAAAGCGTTGCTCCCACGGAGACCGCTGGCCAGGTCTGAAGCCACTGAGCTGGCTGCTCTGCGTCTCGCTCTACGAATGCCGTCGGCATCCCTCCATGTACCGCTTGGCGATGCCATGCCCTGCGCTGCAGTTTTATGATATGCGATGCTCGAGTACGCAATGCTATGCCATGCCATTCATCGCGTACCCTCTGGGGATCGTTGCCTCCTTCGACGTCCGACTGGGCGACCAGATGGGGCTCTCTACGCAGTAGGGAGGGACGGGAGGGAGGGACAGGATGTCAGATATGGCCCGAGCGCATCCAGCTTGCCTTTCTCCTCCTTGCCCTCACGCCCGCGTTTGCCTTCGTGTGTTCTCCGCGGAGTCCGTGGAGGCCTTCGAACCTCAATCGGGAGGGCGCGTGGCTTGGGTTTTCTTGGGTGCGAGCCCGGGGGGGAAGTGAGAAGGGGCGGGCCTTCCCAGAAGGCTGTTAATTCCCCCCGCCTCCTGAGAAGTTTTTAAAGCCCTCCCCGAAAACGGACGGCTTCTGAGACGTCCAGCCGACTTCTGAGAATGCCTTCTTCTTCTTCTTCTAATTTTCCTCCCTCGCTCGTCGCCGAGAGGACGAGGAGGAGGAGGAGGAGGAGGAGGAGGAGGAGGAGGAGAAGGTGGAGGAGGGGGAGGAGGAGAAGCAGGAGGAGGAGTAGTACAGTAGCCATTTTGGCTCACGTTCCAGCACCACGCCCTGGGTGCTTGAACTTGCCCGCAGCCGAGGGGCAGGACCAAGACCCCGCGCCTGGTCGACAGGCGACCATTTTGTCAGCGAAGACGCTTCGAGTGGGAGCAAAGTTCATTCTTGCCCTCCACCTCTCACCCGCGCCCCAAGTTCCAGGATCCTTCTTAGCCTCAGCAGTCACATTCAGAGACGCCGTTACAGATGGCGCAATCGGCAGCGACCTGGATTGGCAAATGTGGGCAGCAGAACTGGCCGAAGGTGACCAATTGCAGCAAGTGCAGCACATATTGGAAGGCTTCAGCTGGACAGGATTCGGTTGGCAAGACGGACGCCGTCAGCGATCCAACATTCAGAAGAGTGCAGGTTCAAAGCCATGGGAGGACGAGGAGGAGGACATCAGAGGACCACCCTTCGTCATAATGGCAACTCCAGCAGAAGCGAATGTGACTCCGAACTACAAGCCTCATTCGCCGAAGGCCGAGAAGAGCGAGAAGAGGATATGCTACAAAGATACGAGGTCCAAGCACCACCTGCTCCGCAACGGCACAAGATAGCGTGGACCATGAACGAGCCCGTCCAGGATATCATAGAGCAGATCGCGGTTCTACGCAGAATGCTGACATCAGAGAAGTCATTGGAGCAACAGGGCGCGTGGACAGAGACTACGGTTGCACGACCGAAGTTACGAGTAGACGCTACCAACAAGGCGGTGGAGATATAGCAGAACATCTTAGACAAAGTTGTGATGCGAGGCAATCTATAGGATCAGCTCGAAACACTACGGCGGACAAATAACGATATTCGAGTCATGATCCAAGAACCACAATAACATAATAATACAATTCGCATGGGCAGGCGTTACACATGGGGGTCGATATGAAGCACATGACGGCCCAAGAAGACAGTAGTAACCACGCACCTCCATCAGATCAGCAAGAGGAGCAACATCATACTGCACGTCAGTTGCAGCCAGTGGTTCAGCATATGCAGCTGATGCAGCACATGATGCAGCATATGCACATACTCCAGCAAACTATGGTGCAGCAGATGCCACAGACATCATCAGCGGCGCCAGCATCACCATGTCCCACGACCATTGCGGCATCATCTCCAGATTTGATCCTGACGCCGACAGAGCCATTCGAGCCCAGATCCAAGTCGCAGTCGGAGATGAGCACGGCACCGCGCCCAAGTCCAAGAAGAGACCTATGATTCAGGAGAGTTCTGCCAGATCTGAGAGCAGCTCGGAGGTTATATTCTCGTTGGGAGCACGGTCAGAGCACAGGAGGAGGCCGACAACCTTCAGGAGCCCCCGTGCGAGGCCGCGTCGCCAGCCCAGGACTCCAATTATCTCAGAAGAAGCCCCTCAGCGACAAAGCCAAGCATGACATCAACGATCGCGCCATGCTGCCGTCCAGCACCCGGCGGCCCAAGATGTGCTGCGAGACGTGAGGGACCCGATATGAGGGAAGCCGACCACAGCCAGAGGCGGTCGACGCGACGGCCCCCCCGGCGACGAGGCTGCTCGGAGTGCCAAGGAAGACCCGTGCGGCGAGTGGAGGGCGTTGTGAGCCCAGTGACTGTGAGTCTGCGCCGGGGGTCGGGAGGCAGTTTTTGGTCTGCGGGGCGAGAGCGAACCTCTTCTTGTAAAAGCTAGGCGGGCTACGCACAGCTTCAATTGGGGAGACAGGGCACAGGCAGGCGGGCGGAGGTTGGGAGACAGGCGCAACCAAATAAATGTGTACATAGACTCCAGCGGGTCCCCACCGTCGCCCCTGGTCAGTGCGCGACCTCTTGCGGCAGATCATGGCCACGAGTCGCTTTTGGTGCGGCCGTGCCAATTCATGTCGTCGAGTCCCCCTCTTCTCCTCCGCCTCCTCCTTCTCCGGATGGGGGTTGCGGCTGGCCGAGTCGTGATTCGAAGGGATGTGTGATCGACAACCGAGGCCCTGTCGTACTCGACCTCGATTCCAGGATCCCGATCGTTGTGCCAATCGGGGGCGACGATCCCATAGTGAATATCGCCTGCAAGCTCGGAAGGGGCAAGAAACTTGCTCACACGCCTACAGAGTGAGGCTGCCAGGTCACCCTGCGCGCGGAGGTCGACCAGCTGGGCCTCTACCCGCATGCCAAGCTCGGCCTTGACATGTGCCCCATTCCCCAGCGCGTGCACGGCCACGTCGCAGTTTCGTCGACGGGCCCTTCGACGTAAAGACACCTAGTGCGTTGGCCTGGGCTGTCCGTCGTCGGCCTGGGCGCAGCAGGAGCCTTCTCCCTCTTGGGAGTTCACGCGGGGAAGTTGTTCACGTCCGTTGGGGCTCCTCTCGACGCTCTCTGAAGTTGAACGGCACCTCTCCCGAGATGGGTGCCATTGTTCGGGCTCTGTTGTGGACAGGTTTCCAGCCGCAAGGCCTGGCTTCGAGTTCCAATGTCGAAGCAAACTCTGCGTCGGCTCTTCAGATCGCCGAAGGGGTGGCTCGGTCTGAGGCCCGCCCTGATGCGCCCTCTTGCGAGTGCTGGCGCAGGAAGTGCGAGCCCGACGCGGAGTTCATTGTGGACATGTGTCGTCTCTCCGAGCCCATCCGTGGAATGTGTTGGTTGATGGCCTTTCGACGCTTCAGCGTGTCTTAACGGCTGTGCGCGGCCCTGGCTGGGCTCAACGCTTGACCCCTGCGGTGGGCGATGCCTGGTCATGGGTTGGGCATGCTGATGCTGATCGCCACGCTTGCCCCTCAGTCGTGTGCGCAAAGGGGCAAGTAAGTATTGCGACCCCGCTAGGATACATGAGGCCTCCAAGAGAGGAGGAGGAGGAGGAGGAGGAGGAGGAGGAGGAGGAGGAGGAGGAGGAGGAGGAGGAGGAGGAGGAGGAGGTTGAGGAGGAGGAGGGAGGGGAGGAGGAATAGGAGGATGATGAGAGGAGGAGGAGGAGGAGGAAGAGAGGAGGAGAGGAGGAGGAGGGAGGGAGGAGGAAGAAGGGGAGCAAGAGGAGGAAGAGGAGGCGGAGGAGGAGGAGGAGGAGGAGGAGGAGGAGGAGGAGGAGGAGGAAGAGGACGAGGAGGAGAGGGATGGGGGAGGGGGAGGGGGAGGAGGAGGAGGAGGAGGAGGAGGAGGAGGAGGAGGATCACTGAGGAAGCAGACAGGACAGCGAGCGGGCCGCCAATGGCATTGGGGTGCCAAAGGGGGACCCTTTGCTTGGGGAGACCAACTCGCAGCCTGTTTGTTGGGCGCCAACCGTTGACCCCCTCGAAGGCAGTCCAGACGTTGTCGACGACGACCTAGGAATTTGCGGGAAGGATGCCGGGCCCCTGGACACCCAACCTGAAGCCGACCGTTTGCGCAACGGATCCAAGGGTTGGCCCCTCCCGCGACCCCTCTCGCAGGGCATACAAGGGTTGGCCCCGCCCGCGGCCGCACACACAGAGGATGATTACAATGGCCGGCCCACTTTGTATTCGAAAGACGCAAGCGCAGACAACATCAGAGCGAACGTTGGGCATACGCCCATGCCGCTCTTGCCATGACACTCAATGCAGCGTAAGTGGCCTCGCCCAGCCAGCAGACCAGAGGGTAGACGAACCTCTCGTGCCCACTGTTGCCGCGCTGCTGGCTTTTGAGCTCCTTTATTTTGGCCCACACGCATGGTGGAAGGGCGGCAAGGCCATTGCCAGTGGCTTTGACAACGAAGACGTCCGACAACAAGGCCACGCCGTCGAAGTCCTTGCGCCGGTTGGCCCTCTCGAGCCAGGCATCCCAGCTGAGCCTGGACGCTGACCTACCACGGCGGTCCCGCGCAATTGTTTTGCGCGCTGGGATCCATCTAGACCTGGCAGCCGCACCTCTGAAGGGGTGTTTCTGATTCCGGAGCCGAAAGCTTCGAACGAAGACCCTGATGCCCCGGGCACTCTCTCGTACAAGTCTGCATCTAGCCTGCCTGCGTGCGTGTTTGCAAACGTCCCCATGCCCACCGAGCCGGCCAAGCGGACCAGAGCTACCACCTGGTTGGACGGCCACTCGTTGGCAGCGTGCCCAGCCAGGCAGTTTCGTAGCGCCATGGGGTTGGCAGTCTGTGCGGCCACCGCGAAGACTAGCGCATTGTCCGGAACCTCTCCGCACGCAACCTTGCAGCGCAAGGTGCGGAGGCACACCCTGATGGAGAGCTGACGTGCCCCATCCTGTGGCTCCACACGGAAGTTGGCGTTGCCTACGTAACTGACTTTGACCACCACTGTGGCTGGTGGGGCCAGCATTGCCCGCCCATGCCCATGAGGGCCCACCACCAAGGTGGAGAAGCCTCATGGAGCCTCCACACGCCCACCTCGAAAAGACCGCTCCCCGTTTCGCCGACGATGATGCACTGCTGCCGCCTCTGCTCCCGCCGATCGGCACGTTGGTCTCTCGGCATTTGGTGCACAGGCCGCGCCGGGAGATGGGCCCCGTGTGCCGGCGGTTGTTCGGGCAGACGGTCGGCCAATTTCGTGGCATCGTGCTGCGCACAATGGCCCCCGAAGCAAGTGCACCCTATCGCTCGCGCGCGGCCCCAGCGCCCGCGGGTCCCCCTCCTTACGAGGGCTGCCGAGAGGGCGGAGATAGAGGGCCAAGGGGAGCGAGGGAGGACGGAGGCGAGAGGGGGAAGATGGCGAGAGACGGGGGAAGGTGCGGGGCGGGAGCAGGTCAAATAGGGGAGGGAAGGGGAGGGGCAACGCAGGCGGCGAAGGGGCACCGGCCTGGAAGCTGCGCTACACCCGAGTGCGTCCGGTAAGGGAAGCTGAGGGGCGACGGAGTCTGAGCTGGCATTTGCCACTGCACCTGACTGGAGGGGCGCGCTGCTGCCAACGAGTGGGGAGGAGGAGGAGGAGGAGGGGGAGGAGAAGGAGGAGGAGCAGGAGGAGGAGGAGGAGAAGGAGCATGAGGAGGAGAAGGAGGAGGAGGAGGAGGAGGAGGAGGAGGTGGAGGAGGAGGAGGAGGAGGAGGAGG